TTTTCCAAACACCACTGCTCTCAGAAACTCTCCTTACAAATGAAAATGAAGGCGTTACAGAAAATAGCCTTCAAAAGGCTCCTCAGCTGACAGCTTTAAGAGACAGAACTAAGGTCTTGAATCTCAAGCTGTCAAAATACTGTCATGTCAGAAGTAACCTGTACACACCAAGAAGGGGAAATAAAAGCAGCGGCACTCGTTTTAAAAGCTAAACTGACATTTCTTGTATCTACAGAATGAAGGAGCATTTATTTGAGCCTCAAAAGAGGAAAGGAAGGAAAGAAAGCTCACATTGAAGAATGACAAAAAGCCAAACTACAGTCAACAGGTGGAACTGACATCCTTTCCCAGCGGCCTTGCTCTTCTTTGTTCTACAACATGTCACTGGATGTACATCAAGCTGTATTTATTGGAGAACACAACTAGCAACAGCCCTACCTCCAGAGGCAACCTGTTCCACGGTAACTCACGGCAAGCACAGATGGGCTTCTCTGCATGACACAGCAGAGGAAACACAGCAAAACGAGTCACATTGGCAGCCCAGCACAGCCATTCAAACACCTCACTCTGCTGTAATATTACTGACTTGCTTGGTTTTCATTTTAACAACCAGGGGGGGTGAGTACATTTGTATGTGTGGGGGATGTGTAACCAGTTAATCAGACAATGTAAGCACAGAGTCATGCCTGCCAATTTGCTCATTTTAGGTTAATAAAATTCACTTTCACTTTTTTTTTGCAAAAACAGGCATTTAATATTGATCCTGAGTCCTACCTCCCAAAGAAATGGAACTTTTCTGCTGCTGCTTTCCATAACAAAGCTCCCCGAATGAAAATAAAATGGCAGTGCGTATTACTCAGCTTCTGTGTAACAATTTGCTCTAATTTCATGCAAATTTTAGGTTTTTATCCAGAACCTGTAAAGCTTGTACAGTAGTGAAGTCGAAATTTTCCAACTGCGTATTTGTGAAACATGGACTTTTAATCCCCTATGATGTCTCAAATGCATGCAAACAATTACCGCTTGAAATGATGTCCATACGGTTTCATTACATAGTCAAATTAATTTTTAATTGCTAATTAATTCATTCCTACTAATTAGGTCCTTCACATTGAATAAATTTGGACCTCTTCAGTGTCTTTAGAACAGTGATATATTTCAGCATCATTCTTTTTTTAACACTAAAGTGACACCTTTTCAAAAAACAGTACATATTTCTGACAATTAAACACCTGGGATGGCTCCAGTTTCTTATCAGTGCAGGACAAAAATCAGTATGTTGCTCCATGCCATGTTTTAAGAGTGGCCTCAATCTAGTTATCTAAAGAGTAAGGCTGTCTCATACGATGCTGGACACTGTTCTGACAACAGTGAAACTTTATACACTAATGCAAGTAAAATCAAGAGAATGTCACATTTTTTTTTACCAGACAGGGAATCTTGGTTAATTCTAAAAAAAGATATACTGATTCTGCTCTTGCTCTGTTCTAAATTTTGTACAGAGATAGCGGAGGTGACAATCACTATGTTTCCTGAATTGAAACAGGGCACAAATACCCAAGTGTTTAAAGTGGATGACTTTCATTAATAAGAAAATCACCACGTTACTATTATTAACACTTTAATTAGTGAAGCTACAATTTGTACATGGGACACTGTGCAAAAAAACTACATACATTCAATTTTTGTTTCTGCTTTAAGCTCCTAGGGTTTTTTTCTTGAAAAGATTAAGAAAAAGAAAAGATTACTCTGAAACAAAACTGTAAAGAATTTTGTGTCTGAAGAGCATCTGCATGTCCGATTTCCCTAAACAGCATCATCCTTAATGGCTCCACCTTCCTTGCTGCACAGAAACAGGTGAGAAATGTCCATCTTGTCATTTATCAGTTTTCTGCCACCTTTTGACCCTCCCAAGTCACTGGCTCAAGTCAACCATAAGCAACACCATGAAAATCATTCCACATACTGTACCTCCACTGTCTGTAGAATATTCCAATTAAACTAATGCAGCCTTTATGATACATCATAAGCAGAACATTTCTGTTTTTACATATTGTCGAATTTTACAACTCATGATTGTCTGTTTGAGAGTTCCATGGCCTTTTCCCCTAACCTTTTGGTTCTCTTGGTGCATAAATACTGCATATAAAATTATATTTGCACTTTTCGGCAAGTTCAACTTACAATTTCATACTTTTAGATTTGGAGAATTTCATGCACGGGTATCATTAAAATATACTTGCGGTATTGTTTATGATAATATTTTTGTACATTTAGAAGCTCGAGCAATGGCTCTTCAACTGATATTTACATACCACAAGGAGCAGGTTAGCCTAAATAAAAAAAGACCAGAATCTACACTTGATCTGAGATCTGAGATTTGAGATCTAAAACATTGTGGAAAAGCGAAGCAGTGTTGTTTTTTTAAACCAAACAGACTAGGCTCTCATTTCCAATCCATAACTACAATTAGCAACAAAATGGGCTGTGGGATAGTCTTACGCTGAACGACACCTGAAAAAATAATAATTGCTGCAAGTGCAATTATTTCCCCAAAATGGTTTTAGTATATTTTCACCTGTTTCAATGTACATCTTAACTAAACACCCCAAACCTCTTTGTATTACATCAAAGGCAGTTGAAAAGAAGAGACAGTATAATACGAGAAATGATGGGATGTAAATTGAATTCAGTAAGCCATAATGGTCTCCCAATTTTTTTTCAGAACTGCATAAAAACAGGTCAGTACTGAAGAAAACAGTCAATCTGCATAAAATAAACCACTTTCATCTTTTTGTTGTTGTTGTCTCACCAGACAAATTGTTCCGCACATGAAGACAGTTTAGTTTCTCCAAGAAACTAAGCCAAAAAGACAAAGACTAGCATTGACATCTTTTCCAAACTGCCGCCACTGATCTATCAGATTGTGTTATAATTCCGGGCTTCACACAGATACAATTACATCACCAAAAAACTCTGAATGCCACAGCTAAAAAAACGTTTCTTTCGATTCTACCATTTTTTTGGGGGGGGGGGGGGGGGGGGGTCAGCCACTTTATTCAGTGGCCCACCCACAACTTCATTTTCAATTAACAGCTCCTCTAAAGGCAGTCATGAAAACAGCTGCTGAAGAGCACTCAGATGTCGCTAAAATCCTGAAAACCTAAACTGTAAATAGCACTTTGTAAATCACTTGTCACTGTGGCTGTCAGCTCTCGCTGGGCACACACAGCTAGAAACAATGAAACCCATCTGCTAGACTCCTGTCGGATCTCCCTGGTCCAGCGTCCCTGCTCTTTCACTATTAGAGGTGCTAGACTACCTCAAGACTGGCAGGTGTCACCATCTGTCCACCGACTTTTCTGCCCAGCACAGTCCGTGGCTGGATGCTTTCGACAAACGGCAAACGGGGACAAAGCACTTGGCATGCACGCTGTGCGTAAAGCATTCCAATAATGAAAAGCTCAATAAAAATGTCCATTTATTGTACACTGCTTTGAAAATGCACTGCAATACAAATTTTACAGTCAGTCAAAATATATGCAAGACTACAAATGCAGTGTCAAAAAATGACTTCTGTTCAGATGAAGTAATTTTCTGATGAGGATAAACAGTACTGCACAAAACTGTAAAACTTAGAATGGAGGGTTCAGGATTCATGCAACTGAGAAGAGCGTCTAATGAGACAAACACTGACAACATCAACCCAGTACTCCAATGAAGATTCAATAAGTTGAAACTGCAACAAAGTGCACTGGAAAGTGAGAACAAGATGTATGTTTTTATACCAGTGGTTACAGGAGTCCAGGAGGTATTGTAGCTCCTGTTAATAACGAGTAAAGAACAGTGAAACAGAATTTAGATAGGGAGATATGGAATACTTCCTTTAAAGCTATCTGAAGTATTTAGAGTGCTTAATTACAGATAAAATATCTCCATTTCCTTAAGCAGTGTAGCATAAAATCACAACTCTAAGAACAGAGATTTGTCACCAGTGAAAGGGACAGATGATGACCTTTCATCTTCCCCATATACAGTACAAAGAGGGACAAGAGTTAAGTTCTTCAGGAGTTACATGACTGTGTCAATGTTCCATTAATACTCATTAGGCAAGCTGAGACAGCTAAAATCCCCTAGCCCTTTTCATAACATCTCATTGCTGCAGCCAGCAATAACAACAGAGCAACTAATCTAATTAGCACAAGCAATACATTATTGCATCCATCACACATAATGACACAATTAATCAAAAGACTCTCAACATTGGAAATTTGAAAAGGCTGTGTCACTGTTCTTTAGGAATATCTAATTTAATGATAAGGTAATTTACTTCCTTTATATCTTCAGACCTATTGTCTTAATGCTCTGTAATTGCAATAAAGCAAAAGAGCAACTGTCTGCTAAGTTGATATGATATTAATTGACTACATGGATTAAAGCCCCAATAAATCTTACACAGCCTAAAGAACAAGACTGTCTAACAATTATTGGCAAATACTGTAACTCAAGTTTAATTGAGATTTCAATTTGCATCTGTTTGGTGAAATGCAGACACAAAGCCCAAATTAAAATTCTACTTACCTGAAGAATGTGAAGCATTTTGTAAAACATTTTGAGTCAAGATTTAAGCATTTATTCTGTCGACCTGCTAAGTTGTCTCCTGTCTTTGGATAATTGTTAAAAACAGTGATTCTCATTTTCCTCAGGGCGACATCAAGTCATAATTAGAATGTTTAACTGCCACAAGGATTAAATGGTAATAATGACAATTCTAAAAAAAGCTGATGCTTAACCAGACAAGACCAGCACATCCCTTGACGTGTTTTTTACACTTCTCATAAAAGAAGTCATAGATGGTTATTGAGGTGCTATGAAAGCAGGGCAAGTGCGTTTTGAAATGAGAGGAAAATGCAAGTTCCTACAATAAATGCAATGTTGTATTGGCTTGGAAAAAGCGAAGGCTCTTGTTCAAGGTGAAGACAAGTTTGTCACAGACTGACCTTTCGTTTTTTCTTCTGAATCTTCTTCCTCTTGTTCTGGCGCTGTCCCAGGTTCTGGTCATTCTCCTGGTCCGAGATGTCGTGCAGTCTGGTCCTCCGGTGCTGATAGCTCAGCTCATGGGGCACTTCGCTGGGTTTCTTCTTGTGGAGGGTCCTGGGCTGTCTCTCCAGGCGCTCCTGAGGTTTCAGAGCAACGTCCTTCTGAACAAGAAGGAACACAGTTCCAGATTAGTGGTGATATTGTACTTTTTTTACAGCACAGTGAAGTTTTACACCTCACATTACTAAAAGGAGTCCATGTACCGTATACCTCCACTGTGATGTAATGACAAAGTACAATCTCTGTAATAAGAAACCTGTGGTCCCTTTACCTACCTACTTACTTATGAGGGTTAAATATTATTTTTGTACAAAATAAAAAGGGCACTATGGAAACACTCCAGATAATCAAACAAGATTTGCAATTTTTTTTTGCAGGTTATACAGCACAAACGATAAGATTTCAAATGTTCTTTGTGACAATTCACCAGATTAATAAAATGACAAAAGGCAAGAACTCATAGGGAAAGAACAAACATGAATCAAATTTGACTTTGTGACAACTTTACCTAGAAGGGACAGCAGTTCTGGATTCTCTTTCACAATAAAGTTCTGCACATGGAGCTGATTATTTAGAGTCTCGTACGAATGAACTAAAAATACTGGATTCATAATACTAAACGTATTTACAGTAAAACTGTTCATAGGTTTGTACTCTTCACAAAGGTCCTACTAAAAATATTAAGACTAATAAATAATTTATGGTATATGAAACCCTGATTAAGGCTGTTCAAAATTTCATCTTTTGTAACTACCTGTTGGACATAATCTTTCAAGGCCAGGTGTTAGATGTTGTTGCATGCATTAAGGGGTCTCAAAAGAAAATGAGCAACTGCAAATGGAATTAATTTACTGTAAAAATGGCCCCAGTTGAAAGACAGGAAGCTCATACAATGCATGCATTGAAGCACACCACAAAAAGCACCATTAAAAATCTCAAAGGTTGGTGTAAAATTATCATGGCTTGGTTAAGAGCAGTCTGATCCTCTGTTTATGCTAAGAACTGACAGTGATTAAAGTGGTTTCTTATATTTTCTTTAGTCTGCCCAGTTTTTGACAAATTGTCTTATTCCACTCACTAAATCATTAAATGCCAGAAACCACAAATATGCACCTTCAGAATGATGTATCCCACACTATGAATGGCCAGCTCTCTATGGCACAGTTGTTTTTCTGAGGAGATTTTCTTTTTCCATGGCATTAAAGTGGCAACCTGTTTTGTCTGTCCATTGCTCTGCCTGTGCATTTTCTTATAAATAGGTCTCACTTGGCGTTTCCTTATGTGTATGTACAGTCCTTGCAACTGAAACAGAGTCCTTGCTCAACACAAACTAGAAAAGGAAAAATTGATTCAAACAATTGGAAATCAATAGTAATGCTGAGGTAAAGTATAATTTAAATCAGCCTGAAAGATAACTTACTGAGAGGTGGTCTAATTTACAAATCTTGATGGACATTTCATTTCCAGACACTTCATGTTTGCTGTGCCATTGGTGGAATTGGCTTGGAAAAAATATTCTATAATTGTTCTACTAACCTATAGCCAGTCTCACTACAATAGCTATAATCTAAAAATCAAAATATCTAAATACTTCAGTTTGCTTTGATTTTTGTTCCAGAATTCATCTCTCTCTGTAATCTCTTGTTCCTACCAATTAATGAATCACTATTTTATTTTACATCTTATCCTACAAAAAAACCCTGCAGTATCCTAGTTCAGTTTAAGTTATTTTTTTTATTTGTGAGACTGTGTATTGCTTATTCCTTCCATTTGCTTAAATAAACAGTTTTGTTTGTTTTCTCTTCATACTGCGTTGCAAGTTCAATTTGTAGGCTGAAATTGTTAAAGTCCAATGTATCTCTGACCTATTTCCAAGACTGTCAACTTTAGCATGGGTCTGGCTTTGCAGATTGTGCATGACAGAGCTTTCCCCGACAGCCCTTGTTAATTTTCACTGACAACAATTCATACTGATGCCCAGGGAACAGAGTTAAACTACCATCCAAACAGACACTTTAGTTCAGCTCGAGACACATTCAACTTAGAAGTAGAAAATCCTGTTTTACATGCAATAAGAATAACTAGGACAACAGCAAAGTCAGACTTATAAAAACAATGACATCAAAAAAAACACTGACCTAACAAGACAAAAAATGCTATATTCCTATAGCAATCGCATCTCACAATGTGTCAGAAGGCATCTAGATTTGTTCAAGGAAACTAAATAAGGGAATTCCTGAGCAAGACAGAAGAAAGTGATTAAAGAGGATCCCACAAAACACCCAAGTGTTCTGAACAGAGAGCTCAGAGGTTTTTGTTTTTCAGGGCACCAGGCGAGAAGCATATAAAATCAATAAAAGATGTTATCAAGACTGAGGTTCCAGGGATGTTTATTGCCCATGCTCAAAAACAAACAGTGTTGGGAGGAGTGTAACAGCAGTGCAGAATGTTTCAGCAGTTAATGTTACCTTTTACAGTCCTTGTTTTTTAAGAGGTAAATAATGAGCAAATGGAAATCTGTTCCCTAATGTCACAGTGACTTTGTTTCCCACATTTAATGCAGGAGCAAATGTAGTATTTCTTAAGTTCTTGACAGGAGCTCTATTTTGTTTTTCTCAAAACAATGCAGCCTGAAAATCTAATGCTCCTGAAGGTTCTTCCTCTTAGGAAGAGCAGAGGTTAACAGTTGATAAGTTTTTTCAACTCATTTACTCGAATTTTGTGTGTTTAAAATGACCTTATTTTGTTGGTTGGCACTTGAAAAACAATACATCTAAAACCTTCAGAAAAGCCATTAATGTACAATTCACAGCCTCTATACGCCGACCGTATCCTTTAAAGGGGAAATCAAAACTAGATTGAATGGCTAAAATAAAGCGATATTCTACCACAGAGTTATAGTAACGTTGCTCAAATAACCCAAAGTTTGTTTACAGCTCACATACAAGGCATTATTGGTTTATAACTATTTATCGGGGCAATACCCTGAAGGCAAATTAATGCAAATATTTCCTGATTTCTTCTCATTTGGCATTAATATAAAGAAACAACAGCAAAGGTACAAAACACACCCAATCAACCCAAACTTTACTCAGGCTACAGTAGGTAGCAGGATAAGGTTACCAAAAGCCTTTGCAAACAGTTAAAACACACAAGACAACTGAAAACAATGTGCAGATCCAATATGTATTGTATAAATTCTGCATTTAGAAATGTTCTTAACATCTCCCACATTTGAGCCAGTAAAAACTGGTGGGATATCTCTGACCTGAACCTTGTCCTTTTCCATAAAAACATGAAGCATGTAAGACTTGCTCCTACTGACCACAGGCTGGTTTATTTATTTTGTCTATATTAAGCTCCTAACCACTCCATCTTTTTCCACATATCCATCGAATAAATATGGGAGACTGCAACAGCACGGCAAACACAGTACGTCTCTGTACATGGTGTTAACGCACACTAAAAAAGTGGACATTGCAACAAATTAATCAGAGAAATACTTACAGAGCAGAGCTTACATCCATTTAATCATGTCTGCTTGTCGGTGGTCACAGTTGGAAAATGTTCAAAGAAGATCCTTCAGATACAATGCACTAGCTGTATTTTAATCCTATTTGGTTGTGCTCTGCAGAATCTTTTTTCCCCCAATAATTCTTATGTATAACTATAATAATTAACCTCCACTCCACCCAGGCTTGCAAATAAACTTATGATGTTTTGACAAGCTAATGAAAAACACCCACTCTTTATGTTACGCTTTTTCAGGATTTAAAAGTAAAAAAAAAGTATATGCAAACAGCATGGATCAAAGGACTACTAAACAGACAACCTGAAATATTTTACAAAAACAACTTTGCACAGCAAGGGTAAGATTCATTTTTAATTAATGGAGCGCATTACTTCAATCTTGTTAAATGCAAATTACAAACACTATCATCTGAATTTTTTTATGCGCACATAAATATATACAGATACAGTATATATATTCAATATAAAAAATAAAACCGCATTCAAATCTTGAACAGCCCTCCTGGCCCAGAGTTGCCCAGGTTCAAAGGCTAGGAGCACATTGAAGTCCAGAATCAACAGTCTCCATAAAGAAAATATCTTATGTTGTGATAAAAAGACAAGGCAAGAAATTGGGGCTTTCCTCACTACATTGAAGCTGAAAAATCTAATTGACTGAAACATACGATGCATTATCTAGCTTTATCATTTCTAAGTGAAGACATCTTATACTTTTCTGAAAAACAATCTAAATTCACTTCCTCACCACCCACCCCACTTGCAATCTCTCTTCCACAAATGCATTGGATTCCATCTGTCATCGGCTCTGCCAAATCACTGTAAGAAGGCTGAGCGTTTTAAAGCTGAATAAAAACCACAATCCTATTCGTTCCATACCGTCGACTTGCCGTGTGTCTTCATCTCCCAAGCAAAAATCTCACAGTCAAAGGCAGACAGGAACATATTGCTCCTGCTCTCTGCTGCCAAGGTTCAAAGACACCCACGTCACTCTCTCGAGTCTTAACTAAGGAGCTGATAAGTACAAATTCTTTGCCGACAATGCAAATGTCAGCAGAACACAGTGCAGAAAATGGCCTGAGGTGGAGTGTGGAGAAGTTGCAAGGTTCTTGAATATCAGTCAATGGGCTGGAGTTGCTTTTTTGAAAGTAATTTATGTTAATAGTCGAAGATAACACCTTCCACTTTATTCCACCGCAGGGATTTCGTACAGCTGGCTCTCGAATCGTTTTACTGATTGCTATTTGATGACTCAAATATATAGATTTTCAAATTGAAGCCAAAAGAATGCTCTCAGTTAGGCAAACTGGTTCCTCTTTCCAATGAGCATTGTTAAATGACAATTTTGAGACATGATTCTATATGTTACTTTCTCCTCGTCTCCTCAATAGGTAGTTTTGCAAGTACTTGGCATACTTAAAAATATTTTCTTCTTTGAACTAACTCAAGCCCTTTTCAACCATAAAGAATTGAATACTGCCTATAGGCCTGTTAAACCACAATTTCTACAGGATTATTTCACTGTAATGTTTACCCATATCTGCTGCTGATGAGCCATAATTCAGACCATGTCAC